TGACATATTGTTCTAGTCCTTTGTGAATTAACCCCAGTGCCCCAATGACAATAGGTATGGTTTTTGTTTCCATACCCCACATTTTTTAACTTTCTATTTCTARATCTTTGTACTTTGAGAGTTTTTCTACTTGTTTTAGGGGCACATTTTTTTCTGCTGGGATTGACACGTCTATCAAGGAACATCGTTTCTCTACTTTGTTCTTCACTATAATGTCGGGCCGATTATCTGTGATGGTTCTGTCCGTATGTACTTGCATGTCCCATAGGATTGTTGCTGTGTCGTTGTCCATTACTTTTTCAGGTTCATGTTCATACCATTTTATGCAGACAGTAAATCCATATTGCTTGCACAGTTTCCAGTGAACATATTTCCCAACTTTGTTGTGTCTTTCTATGTATTCCTTCTTTGCAAGAACAGGACATCCAGATATGATGTGGTCGATAGTCTCGTCGTAATCACCGCAGATTCTGCATTTAGTAATAACATCTTTTCCCATGATCTTATTCTCGTAATACCTTGTAGGCAGCGTCTGGTCTTGTACTGCTATAATAAGACCCTCTGTCTCTGACTTCAAACCTGTTCCTTTTAACCAACTGTGTGTTCTCTGTTTGTCGACATCTGCTTTGTTGACTTGCCTGATGTACTGGAAATGAAGGGGTTTAGACTCCCCTTTTTCACATTGTTTCATTTACAGATGATCTTTGTAGGTGCTCTTTATCCTTTTTGCTTTCCCAATTATGGAAACGTCGATTTTGCTTGGTAGAGATTCATTTAGAACATCTGTTTCGCCATATTCGGTGTTGAATCTTTTATTTTCTTTRTGTATGGAGTACATCTTTTTGTTGTTCTCATGCTTAGAGACTAGACGCACGAGGCAATCCTTGTTTTCTTTCAAGTACATGTCCAGACCAATAGCTGAGATCTTATATATTATCATTATTATTATTATTGTTATTATTATTATTATTATTATTATTTTGCCTTGAATGACAAATAAAATCATTAACTTTAAATTTCAGACGATACATCAAGGATTTCAACAGTGAGACCTCCACCAGCTACACCAACAACAACTAAAAGCCCGCCAACAACAATTCAAAGCCCTACGGAAATTTAACATCTGAAAGCCCACCACCATCGACTGAAAGACTTCCCATGACAACAGAAATCCGGCCTACAACTAGGAACCAAGAAAGTACACAATTGCCTGACGTAAGCAAACAAACAAACTTCCAAATGCAAGGGAATTGCTGAATTCTCGYGTTATCTATATAGGCAATTTTCAATATTTGGAATACCTCTAGGAACGTACACGAAACAAAGAATTGCGAATGGTTTATAGTTTGGATTGTGTCAGTTTTCCTTACGGCTTTCACAAAACGTACACAAGCAAAATGCTAAATTCCAACTCCATATGTGCTGTCCGATTAACCGATTTTATCGGTGTTTGAAAAAGAAGTGCGCATGGCCTTCACTAGCATATGGAAGAAATAGAAAACGCGCGCGTGTGCTGTGTGCAGTTAAAATTCACGCCGGGGTTAACAGAACGAACAAGAGAAAAGTTATTAGGGGAATTATCGACACTTCTCGAGTGTTATGTCAATCCCCAAGTTCTTTATAACTCCACACAGCGCAGCAAACAAGTTTTGTATTTCT